ACGTAGTGCGTTGTGCCAAGTGGAAAGTGGAAAATAGTGAACCAAAACATGTACAAAATCAGCAAAATTATGCTGCTCTCTCCTGGATTAAAGTTGGGTGGCAAAGCTATACCAAAGGTCGTGGCCATGCAGCTACATATTCACGTACATGTTCCCTATGTATGATGACCTTGATAACATTCGTGGTCATCAGAAGCCCAGCGAGAATGGTGAAATCGCGTTGTCAAGCTCCGTAGATGATGCCCGACCTGCACATACCATGCATCATACACAAAGTGTGGAGATGAGTGAAGCGTAAGGTTCGACCAACTCCGTGCTTAGCGGCGTTCTAAGTGTTTCTACTTAGACCCATGCCACCGGGAAACAAGTCCTAGTTTGCCGTGTTTGGGTAAGTATGTGGCGATGCTCTGCAAGGGAATTCCCTACTTCCCCCCACTCAAGTTGAAACTAACCTTGCTTCAATGCTAGAAAATGATAATGGCCCCAATCGACAACTTTCGAGAGGAGTAAGGAGTACGCGCGTGAGGTACTTCAGTTTGTCAGCAGGTATGCGGTTTTACAGCATGCAGGATGCACCTAGACCTACAGAGAGCGCGTTGTGAAAAACCCTACGGATACAATTCCGGATAACAGCGTTGTCGTGTAAACGCGAAGCCTAACCGCTTGCATCTCTTCCCCCCCCCCCTACCCCGCGTGTACTTCGAAAACATAGTCGTGTTGACTCAGCCTAGGTTAACCTGCGTTAACTGGACGTCCTTGATGCGTAGGAAAACCATCCTTTGAGGCTATGAGAGCAATCCTCTTGATTCAGGAATGCACGTTCGATCCAGAAAATGCATAATTATCAAACAATTGGAGGACAGGGAAAGTGTTTTTACTCCGAGTTTCACGCACTAAGCGATTATCAGAAAACAGTAATGAGAAATCTGGATCAGTATTGGTTTATATAGTCACAAAGCAAAGTGTAATAAGCTGCAGCATGGTGCAAATCTAAAAGTTGTGATTGGCAGCAGTGCAAAGCGTGAATGGCTGCAGCATGAGGCAAATCCAAAAGCTTTTAGATTTGCGCCATGCTGCAGCCATTTACACTTTGCTTTGTGAGTATAACAACCAATGTAATATCCCTGAAAACTCACCCCGCGACCCGCCGACGTCGTCAGCCCCAGCAGCCCCTGGGGCAAAACATTGCACTGCTCGCCCGTCGCGCCAAGACGCTTGGCAGTTACTAGGCTTCACGCCACCAATACTGTCCGCAAGCTACCTTGTCGCCATGTGCCCATCACCCACTGCCGTACACGCGCTGGGAGGCCCTGTGGCATTCGCCCAGTATATCGTGGAGTGTGTTTGCAGGTTCATTTGCGAACCTGCAAACGTAAACTAGTCAATTTTAGGAAATCGCGTATGCGCCTAGTTAGAAAAATGGCTTTTACAGTACATTGATTCCGGCTCATTATTTCTGCATTGATAGTCACAGTGATTGATTTCCGAGCCAGCTGTCTGAAGGAATTCTAGATATCGTATACGGAAGTGTCCACGCAGTGGTGATGGTTGTGTGCAGAAGGGTCTTGTCAGCTAAAGAGCGCAGTGGAATGGTGGAGGTGACTCAATAATAATAGTCAATAATAAAAATAATAATGTAGAAAGGAAAAGGACATATGTATACGGGTTAAGAGTAACTCTCCATCACTGTAACTGGATACTATATACAGTCAGAAAGTGCAATAACTAAGCACAAAACTGACAAGAGTACTGAGACATTCGACGTCCTGACACCTAGCTTCAACACATGTCCGTAGCGCTAACCGACAGCCTCCCAACTTGGAAGGTTCGAGGTTATGTATCCATAATTATGTCCTTTTCCTTTCTACATTTATTTATGGCTCAACATCCGAGTTTCAAATAATAATAATATTACTTGCAAGTATTATTTTAACTGGTTTGAGGGAAAGAGACAAACCGGAAAAGTCTGAAGAAAAATTTACTGTCACCACCAAGGACTCGAACCAGGAAACCTCGCTTGTAGCCAGCGATGCTCTAACCACTGAGCTATGGTGTAGTCGTCATCCCAGCAGAGACCGTTCAACATCTTCTTCAGACTTCGTAACTCACACTTGCTGTGAATCCACACAGGCGGGTGGGACGCAGCCCTCACTGTACCCACACACTTCACGTACACTCTAGCACGTGGGGAGCCCCAAGTCATAAAATATTAACTGGTTTGAGGGAAAGAGACAAACGGGAAAAATCTGAAGAAAACATTGACTGTCACCACCAGGACTCGAACCAGGGACCCTCGCTTGTAGCCAGCGATGCTCTAACCACTGAGCTATGGTGTAGTCGTCATGCCAGCAGAGACCGTTCAACATCTTCTTCAGACTTCGTAACTCACACTTCCTGTAAATCCACACAGGCGGGTGGGACGCAGCCCTCACTGTACCCACACACTTCACGTACACTCTAGCACGCGGAGAGCCCCAAGTCATAAAATATTAACTGGTTTGAGGGAAAGAGACAAACGGGAAAAGTCTGAAGAAAACATTGACTGTCACCACCAGGACTCGAACCAGGGACCCTCGCTTGTAGCCAGCGATGCTCTAACCACTGAGCTATGGTGTAGTCGTCATCCCAGCAGAGACCGTTCAACATCTTCTTCAGACTTCGTAACTCACACTTCCTGTAAATCCACACAGGCGGGTGGGACGCAGCCCTCACTGTACCCACACACTTCACGTTCACTCTAGCACGTGGGGAGCCCCAAGTCTACCATAAAATATTAACTGGTTTGAGGGAAAGAGACAAACGGGAATATTATCATAGTTAAGGTATAGTTGCAATGCAACCTCCAAAGTCCATTATAGGATCAATGCCAGAATGTCAGTCTGTGAGTTCACTCCCAGTGGCAGGTAGTATGCATTGCTAACTTGCTACACAGACGGAATTATGCCAAGGCCTGTAGAGAATCCATCAATGCATAAGGATAAAAAAGCAATCAAACAAAACAAACAAACAAATAGACCAGGCCTAGAAGAAAGGAAGCTCATCGGAGAGTTGAATACTGCAATATGCTCCCTTATAATTACCCAATGCTGTAGACAGCAAGCGGTTTCGGCCATAAAGGCCTCATGAGTACAGCTACGAGCTAAATAGGCCGAGCTACCAGCCATGGTGCAAAGGAGGCACCACAGACATTCGGATAGCTTGTTGCTCTAGCGCCAGAGTACTCAAACTACAAAATGTAGCAGGCATTGCGTAATGCAGCAGCACTAGAGCAGCCTACTGAGAGTGCTCAACAAGACAAAAGCCAAGGAGCGTAATACCCAATGCTGTAGACAGCAAGCTGTTTCGGCCATAAAGGCCTCATCAGTACAAATAATAATAATAATAATACCACAGCACGCGTAATAATATAATTATGTGGGTATAATTATACGTTCCGCTTCTGTCCTATCTCCTATGATCAAATTCCATTATCAAGGTAATTATTAACACGGCGCACTGATGACCTGTGACGACAGATCATGGATTGTCGGCCAGATTTCTCCATGTAGGCTTGTCCAGAGCGATGGCCCTCACATTCCCCAGCTGACTGCTTCGCTTCAAGTCGATGTTCCTCCTCTGTAAGTCGCTTGTGATGCGCGTCGCAATGGATGTCCTTGGACGTCCACGCCCAGCCTTGGCATCTCCCGCAAAATAGCCCGTCAGCGCGATCCATGGCGGCGCATCCCTGTCCATACGGAGAATATGGCCGGTTAGCTGCCATCTTCTCCTGTCCACGATGTCAGATAGTGGTTCCATGTTGCACCTCTCATACAGCTCAGTATTTGATATCCTGGCTGGGTAGACTATGCCAATGAGCCGTCGGAGCTGCTTCCGGTGGAAAACGTTAAGCGATTCTGCTTGTGCTGCCGTGAGCCCCCATGCGCCGCAGTTATACAAAAGAACGGGCAGAACCAGGGCATTATACAGGCGGATGCGCCTCTGCTTACTGACCTTCCCACGCCTCAGCCAGAGGCTATACATCCTGCCGTATTCACTCGAAGCGAGGTCTTTCCTCCGCTCCAGGTCCTCACTGTCGCCAATGAGGGACCCTAGCTGCCTGCTGGACCGCCAGGAGTCTGAAGTTGATGTCAGATGCAAGAATTCGGTCTTGGTCTCGTTTACTGTAAGGGACCAATCCCCGAGTTCTGCGCTAATGATGGGGAGGCTTCGCTTCAGCCACTCCTCACTGGTTGAGTACAATGTCACATCATCGGCGTAACCTGTTTCTCCGGGTATGTGACGGTCGGCGAAAGGGCGTTCGGGAAGGTTTGCTCTCACTTGGCGCAGTGCTGCCTCCAGGTAACAAATAAAAAGAACAGGGCTCAAGCCATCTCCCTGGGGGGTGCCGATGGTGCTGAGAAACGGATTGGCAGTTGCCTTTCCTACTTTCACTGATATTTGTGTGTGGAACAGTAGGTGCTGGATCATGCGCACTTCATCGGGGCCAGTCACTAATGCCATGACGTCTAACAGTTTGGTGCGATCGATCGTGTCGAACGCACGGGACATGTCAATCCCCAGCATGTGGCATTCCCAGTTGTATCGAGTCGCCTTGGCCGCAATCCATCGCTGTGTCCATACCACATCTGTTGTACTTCGGCCTTGTCTGAAGCCAGATTGAGTTGGACCAACATAACGAGCAACGTCCTTTGCGATTCGGCAGAGCACTACAAGGGAGAAAACTTTTCGGATGGTGTTCAGGAGGACAATGGGACGCAGGCTAGTCACGGGTCCTCTAGGTTTTTTTGGTTTTTGTAAAGGAATCAGTGTGCCAAGTCCGATGAACGATGACATGTCGGCACCCTCTGCTACGCTTTGGTTGATGATGTCTGCCGCTACGATGGATAGCTGTGCTGTTCCATACTTCAGTAATTCTCCAGGGACTTTGTCCGGCCAACGAGCCTTTCCGTTTTTGAGTCGTTTCATCGCTGTTTCCACCTCCGCTGGAGACACTGCCACACTTAGCCGGTGAGGGACTGGCTTCTGGATAGCAGCTGATTGATCTCTACAGAATAGATCCTTGAAGTGCTCTGTGACGCGCTCTGCCTTCTGCTTATCTGAAGCCAAAATGTGGCCATCAGCAGAGCTGACCATGATACTGGATGGCTGAGATCCACTTTTCATGGCCGAAGCAGCAAGGAACATCTGTGCTGAGTCAGGTGCCTGCTCCACCTTCTCTGCCAGTCTGTCGAGGCGTTCATTGGCATCCGCCCGCTGAATGGAACGGATCTTGTGCTGTATCTGGTTCCGCTGCCTCTTCAGCTCTGCCAAGGAGTGGCGACCCGACTCTGCAAGAAGCCGAACCTCCCGCTGCTGCTCCGATAGGCGTGCCACTTCCTGGTTGGGCAGAGTTAACCTCCCGGATGTGGATCTGTGCATACGGCCAACACTGCTCTCTGCCGCTTTCAGGGTGCCATTTACTGCGCTGGACCATTTCTGAGATGGAGAATGTTTATGAGTTTCTTCTGAGCAAGGGTTGGTATGGCTGATGGAAACGCTTTCTTTGAGTTTTGCTTTGTAGTCTTGCCTCACCGTGGCGTCCGACGAAAGCCTCCGTACAGCCAATGGACCAACGGACCTCTTTGTTTTTGGGTTTGAGCGATAAGCTTTGAACAATCGTTGGAAATCCATGTCGGCGATGACAATTTTATGGTCGCTTGATGTCAGTGTCCCTGCATACGAGCGAGCACGTTTGATAAGGGGCCTGCAGCGAGCCGGTACTGCGATAAAATCAATCATATTGTATACTCTGCTGATTACACCAGTATCTCTGTTTGTGACTGAGCCAGTCCACGTTGTCCTGTAGCGCATGGAATAACGGAAAAGGGTGTTGGCAAGGACAATTTCCCACGAATTTGCCCACTGAACTAGCGCCTGGCCGTTGTTATTCCGCACTCCTTTACCGTATAGACCAATGCAGGGCGTCTTGCTGGTGCCGACTTTGCTGTTAAAATCGCCCAAACCAAACACCAGAGTTCGGCTGTTGGGAGTATTCCATGCTTTAGAGAGGCAGTCGTAGAAATCTTCTCTCAGCGATGGGGTCTTGTCTGCCGACGGGGCTGTGGGTCCATACGCCACAACGAATCTCACATCGACAGAGGTCTCTGAGGAGCTCTTTGCGGGCAGCGAGAAGTCAGCGTAGCCGACTCGGTCCGACAGCTTTTTATGTTTTCTCAGGAATTCGTTGAAATATTTCGACACGGCGAATCCAATTCCTCCGTGGTGACCCGCGTCCTGGCCAAAGCCCACAAGCCTGTATCCGTCGTCGATAGACCTGTCAAACGGCTCAGCAATTTTTAGCTCCTGGAGGCCGCAGACGTCCACTCTGTAGGACAATAGGTCTTTCGCTAGCTGTTGTTTCTTGACATTTGAAGTTAGGCCGCGTACATTGAACGTTGCAATTCTCGCTTTAGCGAGGGTCGGTGAACTACGAGCCAGCATGCTACAGGCTGGCATTTCTCACAAGGATAAGCGTTGACAGAGATAGGTAGAGTAGAAGGATGAAGAAGAGAGACAGGAGAGAAAGGGAGAGAGAGAGAAAAAGAACGCTGAGCAGTCAGCCCAACACCTGAGTAATCAGTACAACTACAAGCTAAATAGGCCGAGCTACCAGCCATGTGATGCAGCAACACTAGAGCAGCCTACTGATACTCCCTTTTTATTATATCATGACGTTGACAAGCCTGACGAAGTTGGTACTGAATGCACTGCGCTACTTGATTTCGTTGATGAACCCATGCTATTCCATTCATTTCGGATTTGGAAACAGCACTGCAGGGGCGTTTTGATTTAAAACGTACTGCAATCCCGTGCTCCATTCCCAGCGTGTGTGTGTGTGTGTTTGTGTGTGTTTGTGTGTGTTTGTGTGTGTGTGTTTCGTTATAACGTTCCATTGCACATGTAGACTGTATTTTGTTCACTGCTACCGGGTGCCTGCCTGCCTGCAAACTGAAATATCTCAAGTGCAGAGTAAGTTGTCGCCTAGCCTAGGTAGACCTACCAGGTTGTTGTTGTTGTTGTTGTTGTTGTTGTTTATTTTACTTCGCAGATTCTAACGGGCAAGTTGCCCAATAACAAGAAAGCGAAGGCAAAGAAAATAATACTAATAAAAGAAATAACCGGGGGCAGCAGAAAGTGAATACCCAGGTCCATTGTCATTTTCTTCCATTGAGTTGGTTGAAGTGCTCAGGACAAGTACTAGTCATGACATACATGTCGAATGAACAATAGTTATGGCTACATGTACCGGCATGAACTGCCGTGGAGCAACACTCCACCACCCGGCTGTACAGTATACTGCACTACAGTTGCGCTCAGTGAAATCCGACCCGAAGTGCAAACCTGGCGGCCTGGACCAGTTCCAATAACATCATTGTGGGTGTACATAATGTACGTCCAGCCGCAATCATTCCACTGCCAGGGCGTCCAGGGCCGTACAAGTTGAGGGTGCCAGTTTTGCACATTGGGTCGGATTTCAGTGAGCGCAACTGTAGCAGTAGTGCTGGCGCAAATACATGATGTAGGTATCCCACACTCTGGCAGCGTTGGAAGCCCACATCTCGCGAGATTAGGCCTGGGCGGATAATGCTAGTTATTTTGCGGGATAATTGTAATGGCAATGCCAGAAAAACTGTATCATAAGGCTACTTATAATGCTGCTGTTCCTCTGTAATGCCAGCAATTCATCAGTAGTAAGTATGGAAAAATGGCTTGGTTTGGGCAGTATTGTGCACGTTTCGTAGTTCTACGTAGACGGCATGGAAAATGCTAGAAAATCATGGTCATAATGCTAATTTTATGCTGCTATTGCTCCATACAATCCGGGCCCTTGCAGCTAGCTGGCCAGCGAGGAAAGTCTCGAGTGGAGGCCTCTCGATCTGCTCGCTCATTCGCCTGGCATTCAGTGGCACATCATCGTCAAGGACTTCGATTCAAAACAGTTTTCATACTGCGCTTCGAGCCTTTTCCTCGTGAACTTGCTGCAAACGTATGAGCTCTGCTGCGCGTGTTCCCTTTGTGTGAGGCCCAGAAACAGCTAGTATCGCCGTACTTCGATTGACTGGATCGATGTCGTCCAGGTTCTCCTCGCTAGCGCTATCAAGACTTTTATTATTATTATTATATATTTGAGGATTTCCCAAAGACGTAGTCTAAATTGAAGGGAGTTCCATTATAATGGGAGGCTGTAGGGTTGAGATAGCAGGCAGTGGAGGGCTAATAATTCGTAATGAACAGCCTAGCAGGAGAAATACAATTATGCTGAATGTTCCAGAATGGTCCTTTAATCAATGATACCTATAGCCTCGGGATATGCCTTGAAATACGAAATGTACCGAAACAGAAACACAAAAATTAATAAGAATAAGCGCAACGCACAAAGAAGGCTCTAACTGGAGACGATTTCTTCACCATTTTCCGCAAACAGCAGCTAGCGCAGAAATTTCGCCATCCCTGAGTGTAGGAGATGGAATCCGTTCGATCAGCTCAAAAACTCTTCGTTGTGACCAGAGGAGTAGCAGGGAATATTCTACAGGAAGCCCTTTGACTCCTCTGACTGCTGAAAGCCTTCCTGCCATGACTGCTACTTCTTCAAACAAGCGAGATTCTCTTTGGTTCCACTTCACTGCAGTCGAGCGTCCACGCGACACAACCTTTTTACAAAACATCATTTTTCTCCAAAAAAAGATTTTCAACCTAGCCTGGTTTTCGCAGAAGTAAGGGTCATTTGAGTATAATCCCACTTTTTGTGGAAATGTAGTGGTACATGTATAATGCTAGAATAATGCCCGTTGCAAATCGCACACTATAATGCTACGTATAATGCTAGTATTATCCGCCCAGGCCTACGCGAGATTAGTTGCCATTTCTCGCTTCCCTCCTGTGCATTTGTTGTAAACTAATTAATCGTGTTCTTGCTTGTATTCAATTTGTTTTGTCCAATTTTTGAACTAATAATATTACTTATCCCGGTTTCGAACACAACATCATGCTGTGTGATCAGTCGTGTTGAGAACAAGGACTACAGTAAAACCTGCTGTAAGCAACCTCTGGGTTTAGCGAACACCTGCTCGTAACGACCGTTTTTCCATGCATCGACCGTTCTACACAGGCACTGTGGGACCTTGTTCTAAAGACCAGCTGGCTTTAACGACGCTTTTGCTTGCACCGAGGGGCGGTCGTTTAACCCAGGTTTTACTGCAGTATCCTATGTGTGCGGCAGGCGAGAGTATAGAAGAGACGAGAGTACAGAAACAGCTCCAATCCAGCCCAAAGCCATGCAGCGTCCACGTGCCACTTCTTTGGACTAATTGAACCACTTAGAACGCTAGGAAGTATACAGTGTTGAGCAAACCATCTCGATGATCCGCTGTACTCAATATAATTATGTTAATTAATATGCTGCACGGCCTGTGGCGATAGCGCATCATATAGCTACGGAGCTTGACGAAGCTTCAAAACAACCGTACTCCCTTGTATGTAGTGACTATGGAAGTAATAGGTCATGACGCACATGTCAGATGTACACGAGATATAGCAAGTACATGAATATGACTTGGAGCAACACTCGGCCAACCGACTGTGTTCATGGAGAAAGCCGCCTTTGTATTTTCGTGCTGTGCTGGTTCAATATTTGCACCTTGGAATGAGATCAACGCACTCCGTGCTCTAGTTGCCAGGTCTCAGCTGCGAATACCAAACCCGAGGCAATGGCCTTTTCGAGGAGGACGTACGTATTGATGGCTATCATCAGTGTGCCATTATTGTCCGCTTACATCGTGCTGGTCGACTTACGGCTGATCACCTCTTCAGAAGTGCATGTCCTGACCTCGATTCTAGAGGCTGTTAGACCGCCGCGCAAAGCGTTAGCTGTTGACGCTATGGGAAACACACCGGTGGTATCACAGCCATTATCCAATAACGGCGGTGTGGCAATCAATCGCACAGTGAAAACACTGTGGAGGCCTGACTACAGAGCCTCACCAGGGACGCGGAGCGCAGTATATCCGCTGTGTGTGGACGAGAGTACAGAACCAATTCCTATCCAGCCCGACACCACGCAGCGTCCGCTTCTTGCTGTGGGTTCGTTCTCACTGGAACAGTTGACGATGGGATGTTTGATGTTTTCAGATCTCGTCGGCCAGGCAAAGCGACTGCAACGGGATTTGGTTCTTCCAAAAATTCAAGGACGTTTCTTTCTCGGCATGGCTTCCTTTGATTACACAACCCACTTTATACCGTTCAGTCAAGATATGATGTCAGCTGAGACGCGGACACGACCCATATCCGACTATTACCCCCTGGACGCCTTCAATGCATCACTTCAGCGAGATAAGCTGGAGATGGTGACGGAGCAGCTCGCCACAGAAACATGCAGAGGACAGTGGACTGCTGTGTTTATGGACTCACCTGGTTGGCATGGAAAGCCCAGAGCATGCTTCGCAAATCAAACGCGGGAAGGTCAAATTAGACATCTCTTTACGAAACTAAGCAATTCGTCGGTGGACCGACTGGCTGTTGAACGTTGTGACTGGATGTGCGAGTGTCTTCCACCTCGTTTGCGAAGCCTAGCGCCGTTCAAGGCAATCATTTGCGCTGCAATGCCGGCACAGCGCAGTCACCACTGGAGGATTGAAGATATTGCAGAACAGTTAAATTCACTGTCCAGTCGATGCTTGATGTTGGTTCACTGGTTCGGTGCATGGCGTCATGGTTTTCAAAAAGAGCTGCCTCTATCACTAACCTCATTTCCCTCAGCCAACCACATTCGGGAATCCGCAAAGCGAATCATACAACAATCCGCCCTGTTGAGTGGCGGCTTTGATGCCATCCATATAAGAATGGAACAGTTTCTGTCGCGCTGCAAGCCAACGAACAGCAGTGGGCGAATGTGCCCTACTGGACAAACTTTGCTGGCATACATGCAGTCACACTTCAAGGCATTGATTGTAAAGATGAAAAGCAGCCGGAAAACTAGAGTACCCTTTTTACTCTCTTTCGACGGGTCCTCGTCCGTCTCCTTCACCCAGGCCAAGTCTCAAACTCTGCTATTAGGACCTTACCAAGGCTGGCTGATTGTTGAACTGAAAAACACCTTTGACAATACCAACACGGTATCCATGAACGAACTCTTTGACAGCAGCCCTGAGAAACGTTCCGGAAATCTCGACGCATTCGAGCAAAACAGAGGACTTAGATCCCTGCTAGATGCTGAAGTATTTATTCTAGCCGACACGCTCTACACCGTGGGTGGTGGAAGCTTCCAGCAAAGAATAGTTTCCACACGACGGATGTTAGGCCGGGCCAGTCATGGAGTCGGTTGAGTAACAATAAACTATTATAACTGCAGTAGAAGGTTGCTGAGATTGAAATGTACATGTTTTTCGATTGCAGATGCTTTTATAACATGTATGTGATTGCGTTGAATTTTTCATCTTTGCTGGCGATAACTATTTGAC